ACCCTGCAGTCCCCCCCCAAAAAAATAAGAATGAGACTTCTGCAGAACTCTCTCACACCCAAGGAAAGCAATCCAAGGGGGAAAGAAATTAAAAGCTAGTTTTAAACTTTAAATCCCAACTTTTAAAAGGCATGCACAAAAAACTCTGCAATTTACCCCAAAATAAGAAAATAAAAATACAGTACAGTAAAAAAAATTAAATTTTTAAAAGGCATGCACCCCCCCCTGCAATTTACCCCAAAATAAGAAAATACTGTAAAAATACCTGTAAGACTTATGCAATAAAACCCACCACCCACACAAGAGAACAAATGTAAACTTGCCTTCTGCTAGCCAATTTCTCCAGAAGAAACCAAAGTTGCTCCAAACAAAGTCAGCCCTGGAACTCCACGTGCAAAAGTAAAGCCAGGCTGCATGGGGAAGGGTTTTTAAACCTTCCCTGCACCAGGCACAATGCATCCTGGGTATTGACTGTTCAAATTTGAAAGAAAACAAGAACACTCTGGAGGCAGTCACATTGCGAAACAGCAAACGTTAAAACGCCATTCAAGCAACGCACGACTTCCAGGCTGTCAAAACCATCGTTAAGCGAAGCAGGGGACCCAAAATTTAATCGCTATGCAAAGCATGGTCCCAACATCGCTAAGCGAAAATCGCTCATCAAAACCATCGTTAAACGAAGTGTAAAAACACTCCGAAAAAGTCATCGCGAAGCGATTTTGTCGGGCACCACTATATTCCACAAATACATTTGTACATGTCATTGCCAAACTTACTAAAAATACCACTCCATTTTTTTCCAGCAGACTCATTCCCAATGCCTAGTTCCTGCTGTGCAGGAACTAAACCTTCCACAAGCACTGAAAACTGAACTGGTCATATAACTCTTCTCTTTATTGACTGAGTCCCAGCTTGATATTTTCTCCCTAATATCTGTGCATCTGTTTCTGTCCAGTGGATGAGATTCTCCATATATTCTGTCATCTACTCAGGGACATAATATGAAGCATGAAGATGCCCAGGCAACACCTTTTTTTTCCACACATGTGCTTCCCCATGAGCCTGCTCCTCACCACTCCCATTGCAGTCCTGAAATCCTTACTGGCATGCTGGCAATGGCAGGATCATTGGGCAAGGCTTGTGATGAGAAGGGTTGAAACTGGTGTCCCTGTTAAACCCAAGATTGCCATCACAGCATTGTAAACAATAATGACTTAATTGTGAAACTAGGGATCTGGGCACCCAGAGAGCTGTTGTGATCATGCTGAGAATGTTCTGTATGCCAGACATCTGAGAAATATAATCCCCTTTAGGTCCTGAACCTAGAAAGTATATCCGCCTGGACCTGCTGGCAAAAAAATTTGGGTGGGTAAATGAGGGAGCATCAGGAAAGACTGAGGTTGCTGTCAAGCTTCACTTTTAGAAGTAGCTTGGATTGTGGTTGTAATAGGTTTGGATGTTTTTGAGCCAGAACCATACCATTTACTCACAGGAAAAGAGGTATCAGAAGGCTTAGCAGAGCCACATTTGCAGAAGTACCAACACACCCTCTCCATACTCTGACACCAAGGGAAAAACTTACATTTGCAGAAGTACCAACACACCCTCCCCCTCCATACTCTGACACCAAGGGAAAAACTTGGTAGAAGCTCAAAACACATGAAATCTGAGCATACTCAGTGAACATAGTATACTGACTGTCTAAGGGGAGAGGAAAGCAGGGAATAGAATGCCTAATGGGTTCTCTGGAACCCTGAACAGGATCAGTCCACACTGCATTTTGTTGCCAGTCATATTTGTATCCAGGAATAAAAATCGTGCTTGAGCATAAATACTCTGATCTTGTTATCTGCCATCAAGTTGATCCCCAATTTGTGGTGACCCAATGAATGAGCAATCTTCAAAATGTCCTGTCTTCAACAGCCCTGCTCAGCTCTTGCAAATTCAAGCCTGTGGTTCCCTTACGGAGTCAGGCTATCTCAGTTTTGGTTTTCCTCTTTTCTTGCTACCTTCAACCTTATTGTCTTTTCCATAGTTTTGACCTCTAGGTTGTTTTTTATTTCAAAGAAGAAGAAAGGAAGACAAATTTGTGAAGCTAAGACTTGCTTGTCAAATCTTATTTTACCTAATCAGTGGTAATCTCTCTCTCTGTCTCTGTCTCTGTCTCTCTGACAGGTGGCACGTCGCTGGGGAATTCAGAAAAACAGGCCAGCCATGAACTATGATAAACTTAGTCGCTCACTTCGCTATTATTATGAGAAGGGAATCATGCAGCAGGTGAGCAGTTAATGTGGCATTACATTTCATTGGAATTTTGCATGTCAAGTGGTAATCTGGTTTATAAGGTGAAGCAGCTGTAAACAGTGTCATTCCAACTGGTCTGTTGTCAAATCAGGAAAGTTTTGCAAATGTTTAGATGTTCATCCCATAGTTCAGAATCTGCCACCTAGAGCCAATGTTGGAGAAAACTGCAAAATTATACAATCTGGATTCGATTTTGAGTGCAATTCTTTTATCAAGGTTTTGACATCTCTTAACAGATAATAGTTTTATATATGATAAATAATACATTTATTTGGTGATTTATTTTTAACACCATGTTTCTCCCAATATGATATGGTCAGGGCACAGTATTCTTTCCTTCCTTCCACTGAACCTCAATGTTTTCACATACACACAACACTCAATAGAGTAGGGTAAGGGAACTTAAATGACTAACAGAAGGTCTCCTAGAGAGCACCAGTTGCAACTTAGATCTACTCCCATCCTAGCCCAAGGCTGTAGCCACTATATTACATTGCTTTTTACACATGATAGAAGGCTGTATTTATTACTTAAAACATTTGTGTCCTGCTTTTTTCCCAAGCTAACCGGCTGAAAGCCACTGGAAAAGGCTGGGGAAGGAGCAGAATTTGTGGAGCTTTAATCCCCTTACTTTGCTGGATAACTCAGTGACTTGGGTACCTGGCTATGGAGCTAGAGTTCAATACAGTATATATGTTAAAAGCTTGTAACAAAACTGCCGGACCATCCTAGAGCACACCCAGGGGAAGAGAATGGTAAACCACCTCTGAGTACCCTGGAAAGTGTCAGCATTAGAGACAGGCATGAACTTCCAGTTTGGTGGTTCATCTCAGTTTGGGTACCACACAACAGGTGTTTGGCAGTTTGGTTCTCTGTCCCTTCTGGCGGGCAGCTGCTCAGAAGCAGCACCTGGAGAAGACACGGCAGGGAAGCTGGGACGCTGCTTCTGAGTGGGTGCCCACCAGAGAGGGCAGAGTGCCGAACTGCCAAACACCTGTTGCAACAGTAAACAAAACTGGGATGAACCACTGAATCAGCAGTTCGTGTCTATCTCTAGTTGGCATTACTCAAAACTGGCTTGACAACACCTAGTTAATTTGTTGTTGTTGTTTCCCTTCCTTTGTCACCAATTTACCTTCCCTGAGCCTTTTGGTGCTTTTCTTACACATCCTGTTTCCTATACTTGTGGCTCTGATGGCATGGGAAGCATACAGTGGTGCCTTGCTGAACGGCGATAATCCGTTCCAGGAAAATCGCCGTTAAGCGAAAACATCGTAAAGCGAAAATAAAAACCCCATTGAAACACATTGAAAATCTTTCAATGTGTTCCAATGGGCTTAAAACTCACCGTCCAGCAAAGATCCTCCATATGGCGGCCATTTTCGCTGCCTGTATAGTGAGGAATCCGTCACTATACACAGCGGGGAGCCATTTTAGTTACCCGGCGGCCATTTTGAAACAGCCAATCAGCTGTTTAGAAATCATCGTTTTGTGAAGAATCGGTTCCCGAAGCAGGGAACTGATCATCGCAAAGCGATCGTCATAAAGCGGCTTCGTCATAATGTAGGGCAATCGTAAAGCGAGGCACCACTATATTTGGTTTGCGGTTGACAAGAGGAGATTTAATTTCCTCCTCTTAAAACATTTTGTCTTCCACCTCTCCCTTTGCCCTTCTTTATCTTTGCTGCTAAGGTTGCTGGAGAGAGATATGTCTACAAGTTTGTTTGCGACCCCGAAGCCCTCTTCTCCATGGCTTTTCCAGACAACCAGCGGCCCTTGCTGAAGACTGACATGGAGCGCCATATCAACGAAGAGGACACCGTTCCTCTCTCCCACTTTGACGAGAACATGGTCTACATGCAGGAAGGAGGCTGCTGCAACACCCACCCTTACAACGAAGGCTATGTGTATTAACTGCAGTGACACTAAAGAAGCTCCCTCTCTCCTGCCCCACTCCCCAAGCTTCTCCTCTTTCATGAGACCAGGAGGAAAGCTGGATCCCCTTCAGTTGGTTTTGTAGAAAAATAAAATAAAATAAAATTTAAATTTAAAAAAATCTATTGAAAAAAGGAAAAGAAAAAGAGAGAATAAACTAGTTCTCTAAAGGGGCTTCTCCTGTTGCATTACTCCTATGGTCTACCATGGACAGTGCACTTTATTTGAAAGGGGAAGATTGGGGTCTAATGATTTATTCTGTGGAATGAGAAGAAAAGGGTGGGTCTGCTTTTTTTCCCCCCTTCCTTTTTCACTTTATTAGTTGGGAATGGAACATACAGGTTTTTGAGTACAAATGAAGCTGTATCATGTCTGGGTTTTGTTTCATATTGGCTTAAAAGATATTGTACGTGTTCTCTGGGTATCCTTAGTACAGTTAATTCTCAATATGATGAATAACAAGTTGTTACTTCTTGGGGTGTTGTCAGAGTTACTTGTCACACCCTATCCTGCTTTTTTGGATTTAAAAAGGACATAGGGAGATACCAAGTCAGAACTTTGATCCATTCTGTTCCATCATGTCCACACTAAGCAAGGTGGCTCCCCTGGATTTCAGAGAGAAGTCTTTCCTACCCATACCTGGATATACCAGGAATTATACCTGGAAATTAGGGATGGTGAAAATTATGTTCCAATTAATTTTTTGTAAGAATTTACCAACATTTTCGCAGTCTTCATACTATAGGAGGAAAGAAGGAACGTGGGAGCTACCGGAATGGAGTTGTCCATCTGAGCCCAGGGCTTTGAATGCTTACATCTGAAAAGTCTGGGTTTTGAATCTATATATATTCAGCCATGTTTGTGCTGCATTTGCTACCTCTTTTCCCCCTTGTCTTTAAAATCTATATAGCATGGACATACAGCATGGTTTTCCCTAGAGTGGGAATAGCTTTCCTTTTTGAATTTAGCCAGTGCAAATGGGATATAATTATCATTAAGTTTTCCTTCAGAGAATTTATTACGAAATGTATGCAAGGACAGAAAATACTGGCAGTTCTAAGCAAATACAAATGCAGGAAAAAGCAAAATGGGCAGGAGTTTCCCATCCCTACCTGAAACCTTATGTGTGAACACAGTAAACTGCCTTATAGTACGTCAGAACCTTGTTCCATTCAGCCCAGTATTGTCAACTCTGACTGGCAGAAACTACTCCAGGGTTCCATATAGGATTCTTTCCGAGTCCTACCTAGATGTCTGAAGAATTCTTTGGTCATCTCTCCCATCCAAGTACTCACCAGGCCTGATCCTCCCTAGCTTGTGAGATCAGTTGGAATTATTCTGTTTCAGGTGATCTGGTTGAATAACAAACCTGTGCTAAACCATGCTTTTGACTAGTAATAGAAGTTGTAGGATTCAGTGGGAGCTTGGCATACCAATAGATCTTTCTGATTTTGCTTTAGAAACTGTCCCGCCCGCCCCCCCCAATTCTAGTTTTATTCCTCCCTCTCTCTTTTAATGTTTTTTTCTTTTACTCTCTTCCATGCTGCCTTGGGTTTTGCAATGGATCATTGAGGAAGGCAATCATTGTAGACCGAAGAACACAGTTCCTGGCTTGAAACTACGAACTGCAGGGTTATAGCTTCCCCCCCCCAAAAAAAAACCCTGGTGCCATCTTGCTATGCAAGGAGAGCACTTTTGATCTTTGTAGACCTTCTAGTATCCACCTGAGTATAATAATTACATGGGCTGAACAATTTTTAATAACATTTCAGCATTAAATACAGGATTGTGATCACAGAAGATAAGACATATTGCATCCTTCCATTTGCTTTGGTGCATAAATAAGTTATTTAATCAATAGGAATTAATTGTACTACTTCTCATATCTCATGATGCTGTTTAGACTACAGCACACACTCCTCAAAACAAAATATCCAATACACAAAATAGGTACTTCAGTAATTTTTAGACATGGTACCCATTAATATGCATTTAAACCTTTTACTGCTGTGTTATGTTTATAAACATATATACATACTAGGTAATGCTAATGCTTCTGCTGCTGTCTTTTTTTCTGTAATATTCTCTTTGCTGAATTTACTATGCCCATTTATAAGCAATGCTGTAATTACAGGTAGCATTTCAGGACAAAATAGATGACTTGAACCATTTATTGCTTAGAAAAAATAGCTTATTTCACAGCTGTGCTATAAGCAGCTTTTGCGCGCATCAAGAAATGAACAGTAAGCCTGAGCTTGCTAAGAGGAGCTCTGCAGAACTTTTTATAACTTTCAGTGGAGCAGAGACTTACACAATCCGTCAGAGAATACAATGAATTTGCTGTATAATGTTGTAGTGCTGGCACTGATGCTTATCAATCCACTTTGTTTTGGACACTAAATGTAAATGTGATCAGATAAGGTTTGGGAAACCATTTCAAAGTACTTTTTTTAATTTACTTTTAAAAATTGTTTTTATTTTTTAATTTTGAGAAAGGTAATGTGGAAAGCAAGACACACAACTTATTCTGCATATAAAATTAAAAGAGCAAAGAAGTTTTAAATATTTATGAACACCTTTTCTTGGAAACATTGAGTTCCCTAGTTTGAAAAGGATAGAAATGAGGTTTGAGCTGTCCAGTGAGTATTTTAAACAGTTACTCTTCGTAATAGCCTACACACGCACACACACACTTTCTTTGACAAATGCTATCAACTCTGGAAGAAGGAAAGTGGGAATAGGAGTCTATAATCATTAGCCCCAGAAATAAATGTTTCATTGTAAATGACATCATATCAAAGATGCCTTGAGGTGGTGATTTACTTTGCTCTCAGTGTCAATCAAGAAACCAGTGAAGTTACGAATGATTTATTATGCAATTCATTTCAAATTAATGAGTGTTAGCCACTAAAAACCACACAGCTGTAGAAAAGCACACTGGTATGCATCCGTAATACACCAGAAGTGTAAGATAACTTCATAGGTGAATGTGTATAAATTTAAAGCATGCTACCCTACAAAAACCTTAATGGTGGAAAGCCCTTCATCTTGTTCCTGCCACTAATTAGTTCGAATACACAGTTGCCCAGTAAGTGTGCAGAATAAAAACACACTGATAATAAAAACACAAGTGGTTTGAAACGGTTTCTAGAGAAACTGAGGGTTGATTTAATCTTGCCTTTTGGTAGGATTGGATACCAATCTTTATTCATTTAATTTTTCATATTATAATCACGTACTTACAAATTTTGAATGCTAGGGAAAAAAAACTGCCAGTGTAACCCATCCCCCAGAGATGGGTGAGTTTTGATTCAGTTGGCATCCTTTCCAAATGAGACATGCATGGTTAATAAATCCTCTTGTCTTTAAGCAGGGTGTGTGAGTTTGACTTTTCATGTTAAAAGGCCAATGAAGGGAATTGGAAGAAACCCATTTCTTTCTGGACATTGTGATAGATGACTGGTTTCCCATCCCTCTGTTGATGCCCCTTTTGCAAATAAAGTCTTTTATCCACACACTTGGCTTTATAACCAAATGTGAGCCGGCACTTGCTTTGGTCCTGGGATTTCTTTCCACTCAATTCCTGACTAATGCCTCCTATCCGTTGAATATGTATTTGGAATCTCCTGCAACAACCATGCATCCTTTAGCAGGCAAGTTGATATGGAAACTGTTCCACGTGGGGTGAAAAAATATATTCAAACCTACTGCTGTATGCGTAGGGAAAAAAAAGGAAGGATTGGGGAAATCCAGATGAAGACAACTGCATGGTCCCCCCCCGCCCGCCATTGAAATAGGAGTCCTGATAATATGACCCCCTTCACTGAAAATGTCAGCAATTGCTTTCGGTTCACAAATGTTGACGAGTTTCTCGTCAGGGCAAGATGTATATTTGGTGAATGATGTGGGTGATTTTAAAAAGAATCTGCTTCAAATGTCTAAATAATATTTTTTAAGAAATTATATATACTGTATAAGGTAGTGATTCACTGAACAAAATAGGCAGTTCACCCACCGTTGAATAAATTCCCGAGGAGAAAAAAAATGGTACAAGAAATTGTTATATGGAATTGATTAACCCTTTTGAAACTGTACCTTTTTAAAGAGTTTATTTTAAATTCTGTTCTTATTTCACATTTTTCCAGGTAGATAAATAAATCTGGCAGCTGATTTCTGAAATTTAGTTGTTTGGCTTTCTGATTCCTTTGTATTTCCTTCCTTGATTTGCAGTAATTAATATGTTTCCTGACAGAAAGCAGAATACAACTTTCATTGCTTTTATCCGGAACAGTGAATTGAAGGCCAGCTTCCTATCATTTCACTGTTATATAAGAGATCATAGGATTGATGAATATAAGGGTTGGGAATAATACAGCAATATTTCCAAAATACCTAGACTCAGCATGTAATGTGGAATACTTTGTGTTAAGTCATAGTGCTGCCTCATATCTTAGCAGGCTGAAGTTGGGCAGTAATGGCTAATTGGTTCTGCCCTGACTTAAGACAAGATAAAGATGAGTTCAGCCTGATTTTATGGCACACTCTTGTATCAGGTATTTGTTTAGTAAATCACGTCTTAATATTGCCTCCATTTGGTGTGTCAGCTGCTCTTGACGTTAAAATTAGAAGCAGTTATGTACCAGAGCACCCCCAGAAGAAGGGAATAGTAAAACCACTTCTGAGTACACTACACTTAGAAAACCATAGAAGGGGTCCCTGTAACTCGGAACTGACTTGAAAGGCCAAAATTATTATTTCATGTATATATACAGTGGTGCATCACAAGACAAATTTAATTCATTCCGTGGTTAATGTTGTCTTGCGAAAAAATGGTCTTGCAAAACACGTTTTCTCATAGGAATGCATTGAAATTAATTAATGCATTCCTATGGGCAAAAAAAGCCAGAACAAAGTCAAATTTGGTTTATAAAGGGTTTATTAAGTGCTCTTTAAAGCCATACATATTGTGCAGATGATTTCAAAAATTTCAATCAAAAAACTTTAACTTTTTAAACATCAGAAAAACATTTAAAAATCAGCAAACATGAGGCAGGAATAAAAAATGGAAAACATTTGTCTTGCAAAGCATGGCCATAGGAACATTTGTCTTACGAGTCATCAACCTCCTTGCCAAAACCATTTGTCTTGCAAGTTTTTTGTCCTGTGAGGTATTTGTCTTGCAAGGCACCACTGTACATGATTTGATTAAGATTTAAGCCCTATTTAGAATATTCATTTACTCTTAAGTAGAAATAAAGCGACATCTTACAGTTGTCATCCATTAGGTGGAGGAAAGTGCTGCAATGTTACAGGTACTAGTCAACAGAAACAGACTGAAGCTATAGTGTAATATTGCCTGAACATCTGAAAAGCTACAGAATGTTTTTCCACATCCAGACTTGACCTAATCATCGAGCAGGACAGGAAGAATGTGTGGTTTAAAGGCAGCTTAGTTTTTCCAAAGTCACTCTAGCACTATTAAGATCTTACCTATCTTTTCAGCTCCAGTCCAAATGCAATGCTTTTCTTCTTAACTGGATCTCAGGGCTGCTTCATACACAGACTGTCTAAGCACATCGGGTATTCCACCTGTGTATGGCTTTGCATGTGTGTATGCAAGCCTTCAGAGGTGATGAAATGTGTATATGGCCCAGGTCATATCTGACAAGGTACATGTCGGAGACTGCACACAGGTGAGCATGCCAGTCATGGATATTCCATAAAACAGAGATGTAAATGCTGAGGAAGCAGAAGATGAGCCAAATTTGCACTGAATCCATTCTGAGCTGACATAAATAGCACAGGCAGAAAACAAAGCCACCAAATGGTTGTATGAAGATGCAGTCAGAGAGTGGGGAAGGCATGTGTCTGATCTAACTGGAAAGGGTTGTTTTGCAGAGAGTGATCATCCTTAAAGTGGCCCTTCTGTCTGTTGGAGAAACACTTCAGCCCCCCCCGCCCCACCCCAAGTGGGAGCCCCTTTTTTGGTCCAAATTCGTCAGAGACTTGGATCAAGCAATTCCCTCCACATAGTATGATGGCTAGGAAATAAATCACACCAGACTGCTCCAAAATGTGATGTATTTCCTCGTGTAGTCAGACAGTATAAAATGATGATAGGCAGACATTAAAAGAGGACACACGAACACATCTTGCTTTCTGCAAGTGAGCTGAAGAGCTGGCAGGTGAATGTTTACATAACCACTATATAAAGAATGTTGTTGATTCAGAGAAAAAATGTCTAAATCATTGCTAAAGGACTTCTATACTACTTCTTGGATCTTGTAGTGCAGGAATAAATCAGATGTGCTTTTGCTTGAGGAGGTAAAAGTGCATCTCTATTGAAATTTTAGTGCAACTAATCATGCATAGAAACTTTTAAGCACTGGTAGAACCAGGAACAAAATCATGGCAACACTGTTTAAATTACACTGTTTAAATTTGGATCTCTTGGCATTTATGCAAACATGCATTCCTCTTTCAGCCTCTTTTGGTGATGCATTTAAGTCTCTCGGGACAATGTATAAGAAACACTGATTGTAAACACCCTGAGTATATACTCTTCCTTTCTGAAGAGGCTTGGGCTTTGTCTTTCATTTTGGCTTGTCAGCCATTGGGTACCCCACCCCACCCCTCCCCTCCATTGCTGGCAATGTTTAGTAAAATGAAATGCATGGTGTTCGCATATAACAGAAGAGCAATCAAAATTTGAAATATGGGTAGTGACTTACAATGCCAAAATGCAAAGTAAGCATTGTTCCAAAGTATTTAAAAGCCAAGTCTGTGGCCTCTGATTCTGAAAACTAAGGTTGCAACTACAGTAGCAAACCTTGACTGCAGCCTATTTTATGCTTCTGTCCAGATTAGGTCTTCATAGGGAGAATGTGGCTGTTCGTTTATGGTTCTTTGTAAAGCTGATGGGCTGTTTAAACTGCTGCATCGTGTTGGGGGAGAGAGACAGTTTTCCAAAAGTCCTCCATAGCATACAAAGACATAACACAGAAACATATTAGTGTGCTATACTTAATTAGAGTTGGTTCTATTTCATATCAATTTTTATCTTTTTCTGTCTGTGCAGAGGGGATCTTGTGCCAGACTAAATGATAATGTGATATCGCACGAAACTCTGTCATTTTTTTTTTAAATTAAAATATATACTCAGGCAACTAGGGTGAAGATTATTGGGGTGGGTGAGCCTCGTGGTGCAGTGGTTAAACTGCTGTAGTGCAGCCAAAACTGTGCTCATGACCTGGGGTTCAATCCCAGGTAGCCGGCTCAAGGTTGACTCTGCCTTCTATCCTTCCAAGGTCAGTAAAATGAGTACCCAGCTTGCTGGGGGGTGGGCAATGTATAGCCTGCATAATTAACTTGTAAACCGCCCAGAGAGTGCTTGAAGTGCTATGGGGCGGTATATCAGGACACTTTGCTTTGCTTTGCTTTGTTATCCAAAATACCACATGCAGCTTAAAACTTCACCAGAATATAACCCACAGTCATGGTCCACTCCGTCCTTTTGGAGAATGAAACATCTGATCACAGGGGGAAACACTTTGAATCAAAGAAGGCTAGGCTAGCTTAAATTGGCCTTTTCATCATGTAATCAGTTAAAAAAATTGAATGCAACTATTTTACTTTTTTTGGCAAACCCATACACCTTGCCTGTGTAGCCAGCAAACAAGTGCCATAAACCTAAGTTATGCTATCTAATATGAAGTGCAATGTCCTCCCTTTATTTCTCCATCACAACTAGGTTTGCTTATTTATAGAGCTTAGAAATGTAATTTTTGAGAATAATTTGTTAAGTCCTTTAATGCAAACCCACCCCAATAACCCATTAATGTTAATGTTGCCAAACAAAAGTTTGCTTAGTACTTTTTCCTTTTTAGTTTCTTTAGTAAAAAAAGACTATAATATGAAAAAAAAATCCTTTCAGAATAACCTACTCATGCCATTTTGCCCTTCCTTGTAAAGAAAGGGGGAAATGCTACAAGTCAGCATTACTCATTGCACACAGAACAATAACGATGCTATCAAATGCTGAATTATTTTGCAAATGGAATGCCTTTATGCCCCCATTACCCCAGACAACAATACTTGCAGGCAACATTATTGTATTACATATTGGTTGAAACTCCTTTCTGTACGTTATGGCACATGAGACTGATTATTTCATGAGTAGGGCCCATTTTTCAGAAACAAAATATTTCTGATTTCACCCTCCCCCCCAACAAAAGGTCCAAAGGCTCCCATGGAATTCCTTTTGTCTTTGGGAATTTGTTAGGTGCCATGGGTTGGGGGGCTAAGTCTTTAATTACAAAAAAAAACGTGGTCACCAATAAAGTCATTGAAGCAGGAATGATTTTAATACTTAAAGACTCTCTGTGGCCCCTAATGGCTTCCCCAAAACAGGGATTTCATGGGATCTTTGGGAGGGAGAGATCAAAACGTTTTATTTCTGAAAAGTTACCCCTGCTGATGACATCATCAGCCTGATGTGGTGTAACATACCGAATAGGATTTCAGCAATTATTTCCAGGCTCTCTGTCTCTTGACCTACTCTGTCTTGAATCCTTACAGATGGATGGCAAATACGACTATGGAGGAGGTACTGATGCGGAAACTTCAGGTGGTGCAGAATGCGGCGGCCAGACTCCTCACTGGAGTGAGAAAATACCAACGTATTTCTCCAACTCTGGCTGCATTGCATTGACTGCCCATTCGTTTCCATGTCAGCTTCAAAGTCTTAATGCTTACTTACAAGGCCCTAAATGGTTTAGGACCGCGATATTTAGCAGAACGCCTGCTCCCACCAAGGTCTACCTGGATCACCCATGCGAGTCAGGAGGAGAGGCTGAGGAGCCTGACGCTGAGAGAGGCCCGGAAGGAAAAGACACAAAACCGGGCCTTCTCGGTGGTGGCGCCTCGCCTCTGGAACAACCTCCCTTCAGAGATTCGTGTGGCCCCTACGCTGGGAATCTTTAAAACCCAATTAAAAACATGGTTGTACATCCAGGCCTTCCCTCCAGTCAATACCTGATTTCTTTTCTATTCCTTCTTATTTTATTCTCACTCATATTTTATTGTAACTGTATCAAATGATTATGTAATGTTCTTGTGCTTTATTGTTTTATCCTATACTGGAAGCCGCCTAGAGTGGTCAAGTA